AATGAAAGTTATATTTTCAATACAAAACAATTGTTTACTAATCGGGGCCAATTCAAGCCTTCGATGTTGCGATCATTTTTCTCTACAGGCCAGTATGAGATGTTAGCTTCTTATGCTCCTCATTATGCGCAATCAAATGAAAGTTTAAAAGATGAGTTGCATGAGTGTTTGTTATTCGGAGTCCAGTATCGGTACTTGATTAGATGGAGAGATCGTCCCCCTTGAAAATAAGCTACAGTTTTCGTTACTATTAAGTATAGAATTTCAATATTTGGTTCTTAAGAAATATCATCCCCCGTGGCATGAGTTAGTCACTTTTGCTAATGACTGAGAGATTGATTGTAGACTCTTATGATTTATCCACTTGACATGGTCAAGTTTTTCTCCTACCCTGGGAGAGTTATGCGAACATCACGATTTATTTTATTGTTGTTTTTTATTAATTATGTTTTTTTTAATTATTATTGGGCTTGTAGTAGTGGGTTGGCCCAAACCCGTCGCTAGTAGGTTATGTTTTTACTATTTATTGGATTTTTCATATTAGTTGGATAGTTGACGAATATGATCAGATGAAATGACTTTGCTTGGAGCAAACGTTTTCTTCCTACCATTTTCCCCCTGAATTTTTGTTTCTTCTCCTTTAATTCAATTAAATGTATGTATTAATAAAATATTATGGTGTGAATATAAACTCTTTCGAAAAATTGGGTGTAATCTTATGACTAATCCTATTATAATTTGGTAGTTGGATTGGACGGAATTAATTAGTATTCAAGAATATAGATGTATATTATAAATTTATCATTTATTATTTCTTGACAAAGATGTTTTAAGTAAATAAGGATGACCACACTAGTTAAATTAATGAATCGTGTTATTATTCATAAGAGGTTAAAACCAAAAAGGGAAGCAAATTTTGTAACTAATGAGGAAATTGAAATTAATTTTTAAAGGTTGGAAAAAGTCTATAGTGATTTTACATGCATTAATTAGTCACATCCACCATTGATTATGTAAATAAGACTTGCAGGGTGGATTCATCTGCAGTGAAATGCTAATAGCGAGTAACGGGCATAGTGAACTCCCCTACCCATGTGGCACGATAAAACTGCTTATTGCAAGTTCAAAGTTAAATTATCGAAAAGTGCACTAACGGTGTCTCATTTACAAATATTATTGCAAGCTTCCTTCCACAATAAAATATGCTTATATTACAAATTTTGGCTTGCCAGCCTGTGTTTGTGGAAAGTCACATTGGGGATTGTCGAAAAGTCGATGGCCGAACTGACTGTCTGTTACAATTGGTATAACAGCAGGTCCGCTCCAAACATGGTGTTGGTTGCGGGAGATTGATGGCATGCGTTTCTGCCGAAATGATTTTGGGACCGCTAGAATAAGAAAAGGCCATGAGATATGTGGCAAAGCACTGTTATCAAGCAAGTGGAATTGATAATGGGAAGCTTCGAGGATGATGGAAGTAGGAGCATGTGTTAAGTAGTTTTGCCTAATATATAAACATTTATTTCGTAAAGCGAGACACAAAGCATTGCAAAAAAAAAAAAATCAAATGTGGGGGCATTTGTGTTGAATGCTTTGACATGCACTGTGATGCTGCAACTAGAGGAGCAATCAATCCGAGTAACCAATGCAAGGTGTCGAAAGCAACATGTACAGATTACTACAGGAAGAGGTGCAGGGGACAATGTGAATACCCATACATCAAGGGAATGGTGCCGCAATTGAGAAAATTTTCCTACCCACTGGCGTGGAAGAGAACACAATGCTAAAATCGTGTGAAGATGCGAGGCACACATTCCGTTACGAGAGCATTAGTGGATTGAGTGGAGGAGTGAGTCACAGGCATAGTAAAATCCCTTATCCATGTGGCATAGCAAGATTTTTTATTACGGGTTCAAATTTAAATTACCGAAAAGCGCACTAATGGTATCCCATATGCAGGTATTATTGCAAACTTCCTTCCACAGTATATTGTGCTTATATTTTATATTTTGGCTTGCTGGCCCGTGTGAGTGGGAGGCTGGCCCGGGGGCCGAACAGGCGGTCCTTTACAAGCAGCTGCAAAAGCCTTATGGTAAGGGATAGTAAACATTTTGGATTATTTTTCCAGCACAGCATGTATCATTACATTGTAATAGCAAATCAGTGCCATATGTTCCCTATAAGCCTGTAAAAACCATGTAGACAAAAGAGAGATCAAACTAAATAGGGAAAAAACACTCGAAGTAACTTGGCTAAACTTAGAAGACTTGTTTGCCTATGGAACAATGTTACACCAGTTAAAGGGAAAACAGTACAAATATCCAATATATTACAGCATCACTGCTTGGTTATAGATGTCTTTGCAGCAAGATGGGTAAGTGCACGCTTATGGTACATGTTGCGCAACTTCTTGTACTTTTGTACAAAAGATATAAGATCAATCTCCCTATCAAGAAGCTGCCTGTGGAGGGCCTCAGATTCCTCTTCTGTTTCATTCATTGCCTCTGGAATAATAATAAATTATATAAAACTTATTTAGTCTAACTTCAAAGAAACCCTTTCTGAGCAAATGGCTGAAGTAAAAAAAAATTACTAATAGCAGGTATGTGTATCTCAATTTCCCAGTAAAGCCACCCAAGAGTTCTAGATGTAGGTTGTGCAATCTAGATTTTACATATTTGGTTTTGTCTGAAGAATTTATTTGGATGATTTATCAGAGAAAAGAGAATTCCTAACATAATTAAGCAAGGAATGAGCTAGTACACCACTAGGCAGGAACAAAGTATAACAATCAATTATTGATTGATGAAGAAAAAAAATTATTCGATGCATCTTTATAGTGGTAAATGGTAATAGATAGTAGGGTTTATGAAAGAGCATCGTCAGGTGATAGTTATGAGTTCATGAAAGGTTCCAGAATGTTTAGGGAAATACTGTGTTCAATGGGCTTCTTTCATAATGTTATTGCGGTGCTCGAGTGGTCATAGAATGCTAGACAGAATACTAGAAGCCGTTGGAGAATGCAAGACCATTATAGAAGTTCAGAGAGAATGGTAACATTTGCATCTGTGATCATCTTAAATTGGAATGAACGAGCTTTGTATGTATGTAGAATAACAAATATCCCCAGCAATGGAAAAATGTTCAGGTGCCATGACCATGCTCTTTTGCTGCTTTTCAGCAAGAAGAAAGAGAAAATCATTTTTTTTAAAATGTCAAAAGCAAATCAGTAATCTCAGCAGACTAAACTACCACATGGCGAAATTTCAAACTGAAAATGAAATTTAACCTAACAACTTTTTTTCATCAGAAAGCAGAATTTGATATAATTCACAGTTCTATAATTCACCTTGAAGTCGATGGAGGAGTGATGCCGGGGAATAAAGTTTCAGAATCTCCTCTTTCTTCCTCTCTAAGTCATGTAACTTTTCTTGGGCAGTAGCCAGCTCAGTTGTGCGGATGATTCTGCACTGCACCCACAAAAGAAGAGTAGAAAGTGTTAAAATTTCAATAAAAGTTCAGGAATTAGAGAACACTGAGGGCAGATGAAGATTGTCACCTGATTCCTGAGCTCCATTATCTGTGGTTCTTTTTCCAGATTCGCTCCTACAAAATGTTATAATTCTTAACAGATGTGCTACAGTTGTACATAGGACTAGAAAATGAAGTGACGTATATACTTACTAGTAAGTTGCAGTGTTTCGTTCCGAAGTTCATCTCTCACCTATTAAGTAATTTACAAAAGGATAATTTGACAAAAGGAGAATGTGTCAAGAGTAATGAAAAAATCAACTTTGGCAACGATTACCTCAACAGCACAGACTAACTAACCCTATGTTTGGCTCATGTTTATAAACTATTTATAAACACTCAAGCACTTTTTATCCACACATTTCAAGGGACTCACAAGACTACCCACTTATCCACGCTCATTCCTATCTACATATATTTTAAATTGTTTATAAACACTTCCCAAACATGCTCTAAGAAACACACAACCAACACAGGTAAACTTCTTACCTAGGCACATAATCATGTCAACGCATAATCAAACAGGGATATGAGATCCCTTAATGGATAGATATCACGAAGTAGTAAATGAGGATTTTAAGGAATTCAATTTAGAAATGGTACACAATATTTTTCCCTGTGCAAGGTACTTTTAACATACATCTAACATGAAAAAAAGGCCAAATTCGATGAAGAAACAAAAATTGACGTGAAGACTTCAAGCTGACAAAGTTTCATCAACATTTCCAATATTTTACACGTATAAATATTACACATCATCATCGCCCTCTGAAGTAGCATATAATTTATACATCAAAGACAATGCAAACAGAAATTCCTCATTATACGTTTCCTCCAAACATTTACCAAATTCCAGGACCATACCTTACATTGCTGCATGCAGCAAACCTGATGTGTCCCAGCGAATAAAAAACTTATCTTTCTTACTTGCCTTCTTATTCAACAACTCATATCACATACTTCTACATAGCCAATCCAAGTTATGGAAATGGGATCCTTCTGGCTAATATCAAAATATTTGTTATTTTTAATGTTTGGTAAAATGGTCACTCTTGAGTAGAGTTATAATGTCAGATACCACTGAAAATTTTACTGAATTTTTTTATTAATAAACAATATATTAAGACCCTGTTTGCCCCTAATTCTTAAAACTTTTTTTTTCTTCAAACTCATTTTTAACCACACATTTCATATGACCCACAACTTTTATCAACTTGTAACCAAACATTTTACCAACTTTTATCAAAATCTACTAAAAAATCTGTTCTTTATCCATACCAAACAGGAGTTAAATTGATTTAGCAGATATTATTTCAAAAAGTTCATTATTTAACTCAAGAAAATTTTAAAATATATGCTGTCCTATGATAATTATTACTATTTGTTGAAAATTTTATTTAGCCCCTGTTTGTCTACCATTATTTCAAAAAATTGTTTGCCATGGTAAGATTCTCCACCACACATTCACCCAATAAAATATTCTACACACAAACCAATAAAATTACCTTACTTTTCAATCACACATTCTCCAAAAAATACTATTCATTACTCTATTTCTCTCCCAATAATGGGAGACAAACACACCCTTAAATTGTAACATACATATTCATATTTAATATACAAATGTAATTTAAATTTATATACAGATTTAATTTATCAATTTATGAGTTTAACGTTTTATTACTTAAACAAATGATTTTTAATTACTTTTTTTTTTCATAATATAATATTGTTAAGTTAGTGAGCGTGTTTAAGTCATTTTATTGGTAAAATGATTTGCGTAGCTACCCCCAGCCAAATTAACTAACTTTTTTATTTATTAGTTAGAAAAAATGTAACTTATATGATTAGACAAATATTGTCTGAAATGCAAATTTATTTATAAGTATGTTTGACTTCATTATAAGCATCATCAACAGGTTCATCCGACAAACATGTGTAAAGTGAAAATTACTTCTAAATATTTTTGGTTTAATCATTAACAAACACGTACAAGCTCTTAGTTATTCAACACTAATTGTAGATCTTCATAACCTTGAGGAAACAAGGAACAAAGAAACAAAATTTCAATTGGAAAATATAATTCTCACAACACATCTCACCCTATTTTGAGTTTTGACAGGTTCGAGTGAATGGAAGAGGTTTTGATACGCATCCTTGTCAGACAAAAGCTTCCGAAGGTCATCAAGGCTGCGCATATCAAAGAACAAACAAGATTGTGACCAAAACTATAATGCATAAAGTAGAAATCCAAGGGTTAAGAGTGAATAGTTAATTACCAATCCTTTAAAATCGCTATTAATTTATACATATAGCTTCATTTAATTCTTTTTCACGTTCACTTTTTCTTAGGTTGGGGTGGGGTACACTATATATGGTTGTGAAGTTTCTTGTGATTATATTACAAAAAACTTGTCCGCATATTCCAAATCACCGAAATGGAATAAGGCTTAGTTAGTTGTTGGTGATTATGTAATACTATCTCCTCTGTTATGAATCCCTCCTATAATGGCCCACATCAATCCCCTTCGCAGGTTTTTGGATGATTTATATCGGTATCTAATTATCCCACAGTTCATTACATATGAGCAACCCCACTAAACTTCGGTTTGGACCGTCTAGTGGTAAAAGTGCAAAGGTCATCATTTCATTTCAAACATCCCAACAAAAACTATTCAAATGATCTAATAAAAATATAATGATTCGAGGTAGAAAATTTTGACCAGTGGTGGAAAAAGAGCAGGAAATTTGTAAACTGAATATGAAGAACTAATGATATAATTAATCATCTCGTAATGTTTAGGATAAGGATAATGTTGTGACAGTAAAAAGTTCATGGTATGAAATGGGATAGCAAGACTTTACCTTTTATCTTTCAACAGAGCGATGATACCTGCAGCCTCTGCAGGAGAAATATTTGACATAGAGTTTGATCGATCTGGGGGCCTTGGTATGCTTAAGTTGCTGGATGAGCTGGCAGTGGGTGTTGTGGGACGTGAAGAACTGGTTGAACTGACAACAGATGGTGGGTACCACGAATCTGTAGAAATTTCTTGTGGATGTGGCTGAGCTTGTTGCTCCTGAGAACCCCTGTTGGTAAATGCAATTATAGCACTGTAACAAACACATGATCTGAAGCTTGTGTGTCTTAGATATGATAACACCACTAACATCAGCATCTTTTATTCAATTTACTTATAAAACAGAAAGCATTTTTGAAATACACAAACAGCAAATGACAACGAGATAAAATGCACAGGAACATATACTGCAAAAAAATTGAATAAGACTTTCCCACGACTTTTCCAAATGAGGCCAATGATGCTCAACAAACCTGGTCCACCATCCATTACCCAAAATCACCATGTTATACAATTGCCTCTGTGGACAACTTTATTTTTCCAGCAGAATTAACCAGATCATAAACAAACTCAACAAAACATCCACCATGTCAAACTAACCACGGTGCTCTGAACAGACCAACTGTTACATCATAACACGCTATGTTGTACGTCATGTTTTTGAAGTGACCTCTTTCCATAATCTTGCAAACAGATTAGTCTAGAACAATGTGCAATTATATACTTTCACTCCTCCAAAATAAGTCACTCAAACATAGTCTCTGCCAATGATTTGGAGGGTAGAAGAAAGATCTGAAGTGGACCATGAATGATTTGATATTCTATGGAAAACCCATACTAGTCATCATAATCCATCAATAAAATAAGAATGAGTCTGTACAGGCTTTAGGCTTGATCAGAAAAGGAATTGTAGAACCAACTATCTGGGACAGACCTAAGAGCACAAACGGATCATAGAGCTTGGATTTGATCTCCACTTGGGGATCCATGGATCACAACAAACATCTCTTCAGTTGCACTAGAAATTGGGTTTCTCACCTACATCCCTAAGATTTTAAATCAACTGATGTGTAGAGAAATCAAATGAATATACATATGATGGAACAACTGCTGTGTACAAGAAACATGATGCAAATCCAAAAAGTGAGATAATTTAATCAATGGTCAGTAAACTTCGCTATAAGTTACTACTTGCTCACCGATCTTCAAAAAGTTACTCGTTGCTCACTGAATTTTGTTATAGGTTATTACTTTCTTACCGAAATTTAAAAGGTTACTCATTGCTCGTCTAAAGTTGAATAAAGTAACTCGTTGCTCACTAAATTTTGTTATTGATAACACTGAAGGAAATGATTTGGGTGATTGATGGGCAACTTTGTTCAAAGTTGGGTGAGCAAGTAGTAACTTATAGCAAATATCAGTGGCCAAACAGTGACTTTTTAAATTTTGATGAGCAAGTAATAATCCATATCAAAGTTCATTGACCATTGATTAAAATAACTCAACAAAAAAGCAGATTGATTGAACTCAAAATGGCAATCTCTTTAAACTTCCCGAACTCAGAGAGTGCAGAATTTCTTGTTCATAGAGAGGATCAGATAATGAACTTGTAAGCCATAAATTATATTATAAGCTCCGAATTTTCACTACAATCAGATAGAACGAGTGAAAAAGATAAGAAAGAGAGAAAAAAACACAAGAATTGGCATTTTCATTAAATAAATATAAGTAAAAAAAAAAAAAAGAACATCAGAAGCTCATCAGAGGATAATCATACTTAAAACAAGAAAAATAAAAANGGGACAGACCTAAGAGCACAAACGGATCATAGAGCTTGGATTTGATCTCCACTTGGGGATCCATGGATCACAACAAACATCTCTTCAGTTGCACTAGAAATTGGGTTTCTCACCTACATCCCTAAGATTTTAAATCAACTGACGTGTAGAGAAATCAAATGAATATACATATGATGGAACAACTGCTGTGTACAAGAAACATGATGCAAATCCAAAAAGTGAGATAATTTAATCAATGGTCAGTAAACTTCGCTATAAGTTACTAATTGCTCACCGATCTTCAAAATGTTACTCGTTGCCCACTGAATTTTGTTATAGGTTATTACTTTCTTACCGAAATTTAAAAGGTAGCTCATTGCTCGTCTAAAGTTGAATAAAGTAACTCGTTGCTCACTAAATTTTGTAATTGATAACACTGAAGGATATTATTTGGGTGATTGATGGGCAACTTTGTTCAAAGTTGGGTGAGCAACGAGTAACTTTTAAATTTCTGTGAGCAAGTAGTAACTTATAGCAAATATCAGTGGCCAAACAGTGAATTTTTAAATTTTGATGAGCAAGCAATAATCCATATCAAAGTTCATTGACCATTGATTAAAATAACTCAACAAAAAAGCAGATTGATTGAACTCAAAATGGCAATCTCTATAAACTTCCCGAACTCGGAGAGTGCAGAATTTCTTGTTAATAGAGAGGATCAGATAATGAACTTGTAAGCCATAAATTATATTATAAGCTCCGAATTTTCACTACTTAATCAGATAGAACGAGTGAAAAAGATAAGAAAGAGAGAAAAAAAACACAAGAATTGGCATTTTCATTAAATAAATATAAGTAACAAAAAAAAAAAAAAAAGAACATCAGAAGCTCATCAGAGGATAATCATACTTAAAACAAGAAAAATAAAAAAATAAAAACTGAGAGGAAATGACTACCAGAACGACTTGAACATGGCTTTGAAGACGTATCGTTTGTTGATCGTCTAATTAATCAATCAAGGAGAAAATCGAAACCCTAGAGAGAGATTTACCGAAACGCTTTTCCTTTCTGTTTTTGTTTTGATTTTNNNNTCCTTTCTGTTTTTGTTTTGATTTTCTTGTTTCTGATGTTTCTTTGTATCTCTCTCGCGCGTCTCGTGACGGGGTATCATTGGTGGAGAAAGTCCTTCGCTAATTATGAAGGAAAAAAAGAAAAGAAAAGAAAAGAAAAGAAAAAAGAAGGACCAATGGCAGAAAACTCCCAATTCGAAATTTTTTGTGCAAAAAACCCACTACCGTCAGATTTTCCGTTAAAAACAGTAAAAATATCAAAATTAAAAAGTAATAATTGTAATTTTAGTATTTAAACTTTGTATTCTTTTACAAACTATATTCAAATTTTTTTATGTACCACCCACAATTCCAAACTGTTAAAACATCATTTTCACTCCACCTCCTTTCAAAATCCTCCAAAATCCATTCACCCCAAATTCATTATTTTTTTCATTAACAATGAAAAATTATAATCAATACACGCATATACATAATTTAATAGTGCAATTTAACTATTTTATATTGAAATGAAAATAAATTTAGAACACATACACAGTAGATGAACACATACCTGAAAGAAGTGAGAGAAAAAAAAATATTCACGGTCACACACTGATTTTTAGATTAAATTTTAACTAAACTTCTGTAGAATAAACTAAAAAGAAAGAAAGAAAAAAAATATGCATTATAACTATTTTTATGTCGAGCGTACATATAAGTAGAAAAAATAGAAACACTAAAGCTAAATAATTTCTCTGTAAGAAACTTAAAATTGGTAGTCAAAAGCACTTTTCTTAACTTCTAAATCACTCACCTCTATGATCCCTATTTGGAATGAGAAGAAGAAATGATGAATTTGAGGTGAGAGATTAATGAGAATTTTGAAAGGGATTAAATAAAATAATAAAGTTTTGAGGAAGAAGATGAAATGGATGGGGGTGAAAAATAAAGTTTTAAAGGTTTGAAATTGTGGGTGACACATAAAAAAATTTAGGTTTAATTTGGAAAAGAATAAAAAGTTTGGATATTAAAATTGCAANAATTGTGGGTGACACATAAAAAAATTTAGGTTTAATTTGTAAAAGAATAAAAAGTTTGGATATTAAAATTGCAATTATTACTTTTTAATTTTGACATTTTTACTGTTTTTAATGAAAAAATTGACGGTGGGGGGTTTTTCGTAGAAAAAGTTTCAAATATGGAGGTTTTCAATGATTTTCAATAGATAGGGGATATATCTCAAATGAAAACGTTTATAGGGGATTTTCTGTTATTAATCCAAAAAGAAAGTATGAATTTCCTTACAAGCCTGTTAGGGTCCGTTTGATTGTAAGGGTTGAAAATGGATGGAAAGAAAATGAATTTCAGAGAAAATAATTGTTTAAAAATTATTTTATAAGAAATTGTTAATTAAGTGTGTTTGATTGATATAATTTTTCACCCGAAAAAATTTTAAAATTTTATGTCCGTTTGGCTTTGTTTTATATGGAAATTATCCATTAAAGTGATAATTTTTCCACAATTGGTTATAAAATTTGTTTCCTTTACCAAAAAGTTAAAAAAAAAAAAAAGGAAAGTTTTTTTCCTTAAAAATTATTTTTTTCATCAAAATTTAGTTTTCGTTTGACTTTGTTTTACATGAAAATTGTTCACTAAAATATTTTTTTTTTATAATTTGTTATGAAATTTGTTTCCATTGCCACAAAAAAAAAAAAAANAAAAAAAAAAAAAAAAAAAAAAAAAGGGAAAAAAAAATTGTTTCCTAAAAAATCATTTTTTTAATCAAAATTTAGTATTCGTTTGACTTTGTTTTATATGAAAATTATTTATTAAAGTGAAATTATTTTTTTTACAATTAGTTATGACATTTGTTTACATTGTCCAAAAAGAAAAAAAAAATGGAACCAGCCGCCTGGAAAATCATTTTCCCACCAAAAAGGCGGGAAAATGAATTCCCCAAAATCAAGCAAAAGAGGCGCGTGAGCCTCTCCTCAAGAAAATGTTTTGCCAACAAAATTTTGCACATCAAACATCTCATTTGGCTCGAAAAGGAAATGAAATTCCAAATTCCAAGAAAAATAAAGCAAATCAAACAGGGCCTTATATTTTCTTCGAAACGGGAAATTTTTTTGCTTGCGATCTTGAATGTTTTATTCAATGTTATAAAAAGTCTAATCTGTGGCAAGGCATGATGATCAAATTTCGGGTTAGACGAGCCTAGGTGAGATTTAGGTGTAAAACTTAAAAAAAGAGTAAAATTTTTTTTTTTAATATTATTTT